ACTCTGCCATGTGCCACTTTCAGGTCTCCTCACACACTGCTGGTGTGTAGAATTTTTTGACATAGGGTGCTGGCAGATTACGGGCCTCCCATTAGCTGCTGCCAGGCCCCTAATCTGCCATGGGCCCCTATACCGCCTCCTCATGCTGCTGCCAGGTCCAGAGTCTCTCATGGGTCCCTGTACGGCCTCCCATTGCTGCTGTCTCCATCGCCACACTCTGCCATGTGCCACTTTCAGGTCTCCTCACACACTGCTGGTGTGTGTGAATTTTTTTGACATAGGGTGCTGGCAGATTACGGGCCTCCCATAGCTGCTGCCAGGCCCCTAATCTGCCATAGGCCCCTATATACCGCCTCCTCATGCTGCTGCCAGGTCCAGAGTCTCTCATGGGTCCCTGTACGGCCTCCCATTGCTGCTGTCTCCATCGCCACACTCTGCCATGTGCCACTTTCAGGTCTCCTCACACACTGCTGGTGTGTTGAATTTTTTGACATAGGGTGCTGGCAGATTACGGGCCTCCCATAGCTGCTGCCAGGCCCCTAATCTGCCATGGGCCCCTATATACCGCCTCCTCATGCTGCTGCCAGCCAGAGTCTCTCATGGGTCCCTGTACGGCCTCCCATTGCTGCTGTCTCCATCGCCACACTCTGCCATGTGCCACTTTCAGGTCTCCTCACACACACTGCTGGTGTGTTGAATTTTTTGACATAGGGTGCTGGCAGATTACGGGCCTCCCATAGCTGCTGCCAGGCCCCTAATCTGCCATAGGCCCCTATATACCGCCTCCCTCATGCTGCTGCCAGGTCCAGAGTCTCTCATGGGTCCCTGTACGGCCTCCCATTGCTGCTGTCTCCATCGCCACACTCTGCCATGTGCCACTTTCAGGTCTCCTCACACTGCTGGTGTGTTTTTTTTTTGACATAGGGTGCTGGCAGATTACGGGCCTCCCATTGCTGCTGCCAGGCACGTAATCTGCCATGGGCCCCCCGTACCGACTCCTCATGCTGTGACGTTGCAACAAGGTGGAATTCAACCCTACATATGTTAGACCGCCTTTACGAACAGCGAAAGGCCATCACAGATTTCCTGATGTTAAAAGCGGATAAAGGTACTCCCTGTGTAACTTAGATGTCAGCCATTGGCAGCTCATGCGTGACACCTGCGCTTGCTCAGGCCCTTTGAGGAGGCCACGCTATTCGTGAGTCGGGCAGGACTATGGGATGAACGACGTCATTCCTCTGTTGCACGTCCTGGAACAAATGCTGTTAACAATGGCTGGTCAGGGTGCGGTAGACGTGGCGCACAGATCTCAACGCCACATGACCCCTGTGGGGGGCAGGACAGGAAGAAGAGGAGGAGGTAGAGGAGGACATTGGTGCTCAGGAATTATTGAGTGAAATGGGTGGTTTTTCCCACTCAGCGGACAGGAGTGGAGGAGCAGGAGCATCTGGTAGAGGAGGAGGAGGAGGAGGAGACAGAGGACCCAGACGCACCGTGGCAGTATGCTGTGGAGATGGAGGAGGCAGGGAGTCCCTCGCATTCCTTGGCACAAATGGCCCATAGCATGCTCGGTTGCTTGCGTAGCGACAGCCAACCTGAATAATAACCATCAGACAGAGGGATGACTTTTGGCTGTCCACCTTGTTGGACCCTCGCTACCGTTCAAAAATGGTGGCCTTTTTCACACCTGCTGAGAGGGGAGGCCAAAAATAACGTACTATAAAAACCACCTATGTAGTCAGCTGGTCTCTGCCTGTTGCGCCAACGTCCATCCTCAGACACTGTGGGCCCTGTGCGCTCGCGTTCCGCTGCCATGGCAGCAGGGGAGGGGTGGGGTGGTAGGAGCAGTGGCAGCTCCACCAGCAGCGGCTGCCTCAGTCTGCAGTCGATGATGAGTAGCTTTCTTCACCAGCGCAGTGAGGAAACTACTAACCAGCCGCAGCAGCAGCAGCAGCAGCAGCAGCAGCATGGTGGACCTGGAGCGCAGGCCTGCCAACCAGGTGTCCAAATGCCTAGCCACAACTCTTCCTACCAGCCATCCCCCACAGCTGATAGCCCCTGGCACAGCAGCAGATGCCAAGCTTGAAATTTAGGGCCCTTGGCCCCACTAGCATGGTGAACCCCTTGGTATTGTTCTGTCCAGGATGTGCTGCCAGCCCCTTCAGGGCCCTCAGTAGGGTGCTGTACAACATGCGGAGCTGCCTGCTACCACTGCCAGCAGCTTACCCTGACCTATAACTGCGCAGGTGTGCCACTTTCAGGTCAATCCAGCATGCAGGTGGACCTGGAGCAGGACCTGCAACAGGCTTAGGCCTCCCACTTGGACAGCACCCTGCCAACCGAGGTAGACAATCCCCCTCATGACTGCTAACTGGGCAACGAAACTTGACCTTTGGCCCCAACTAGCTGAATTTGCCCTTGAAAGGCTGTTCATGCCCCAGTAGCGTGGCATCGGAGCGTTGTTTTTAGTGCGGGTGCTGGCAGGTATTGCAACTCTGCGGAGGACACGACTGTCCACCCAAAAAGTGTGGAGAGACTGACGTTTGTGAAAATGAATCAGGCTCTCATGGGTTAGTCTGGATTTCAAACCACCAGTTCCTGACACAACTGACTAAATCCGCCATGAATCATGCCCCAAACATGTGCCACTTTCAGGTCTCCTCACACACTGCTGGTGTGTTTCCATTTTTTGTCATAGGGTGCTGGCAGATTACGGGCCTCCCATAGCTGCTGCCAGGCCCCTAATCTGCCATGGGCCCCTATACCGCCTCCTCATGCTGCTGCCAAGTCCAGAGTCTCTCATGGGTCCCTGTACGGCCTCCCATTGCTGCTGTCTCCATCGCCACACTCTGCCATGTGCCACTTTCAGGTCTCCTCACACTGCTGGTGTATTCCATTTTTTGTCATAGGGTGCTGGCAGATTACGGGCCTCCCATAGCTGCTGCTGCCAGGCCCCTAATCTGCCATGGGCCCCTATATACCGCCTCCTCATGCTGCTGCCAGGTCCAGAGTCTCTCATGGGTCCCTGTACGGCCTCCCATTGCTGCTGTCTCCATCGCCACACTCTCTGCCATGTGCCACTTTCAGGTCTCCTCACACTGCTGGTGGGTTCCATTTTTTGTCATAGGGTGCTGGCAGATTACGGGCCTCCCATAGCTGCTGCTGCCAGGCCCCTAATAATTGCCATGGGCCCCCGTACCGACTCCTCATGCTGCTGCCAGGCCCGTAATCTGTCATGGGCCCCTGTTGTCGCTTGTTTGTTGGCATATTCCGCTCGTTCAGATGCTCCTTCTCCTGCTACTCCTCTTCACGGATTCCGTCAGCAGTCTTTCTTGGAATCCGTTTCCAAGAGACAACAGTTTGCGAGCACGCACCAGACGGTGCAGAAGCTGAACGTCCTCCTGTCCAAGTTGCTGCTGCCAGGCTCGTAATCTGTCATGCGCCCCTGTACCGCCTCCTCATGCTGCTGCTGCCAGGTCCAGAGTGTGTCATGGGCCCCCGTACCGACTCCTCATGCTGCTGCCAGGCCCGTAATCTGTCATGGGCCCCTGTACCGCCTCCCCATGCTGCTGCCAGGTCCAGAGTGTGTCATGGGTCCCTGTACGGCCTCCCATTGCTGCTGCTGCCAGGCCCGTAATCTGCCATGGGCCCCCGTACCGACTCCTCATGCTGCTGCCAGGCCCGTAATCTGCCATGGGCCCCTGTACCGCCTCCTCATGCTGCTGCCAGGTCCAGAGTGTGTCATGGGTCCCTGTACGGCCTCCCATTGCTGCTGTCTCTATCGCCACACTCTGCCATGTGCCACTTTCAGGTCTCCTCACACACTGCTGGTGGTTTCCATTTTTGTCATAGGGTGCTGTATGGCCTCCCATTGCTGCTGCCTCCACCGCCACACTGTGGCTCCACACTCTGGTTTTGGCCCCGTGACTGCCCAAATGAGTGAAGTGTGCGGTGATTCTAAGATCGACGGCACTCATCTGCATGTCATACTGACTGACAGTATTATTTCTCTTCCCCAGCAGACTCCAAGGGCATTTAAATTAAAGGTACAGTGTTCAGCACTAATATTAAGTGACTCGAATCAAAATTTTTCCCACGAATTCGCCGAATCAGTTGAATCGAATTTTTGAATACTTCGCTCATCTCTAGTGACAACTCCTTCCCTCCTGCCATCAAGCTATTCAACAAGTTCCTCTGATGTAAGTGTGCATTATTTGCTTTTACAATAGATCCTTCTGCACACTGATCCTATACCCCTGGTTTGCTCTTTTACATGCCAGTGGATTCATCCACCTCAAGTCCTTGTTGGGAACTGTGGTTCTCTGTTTCAAAGGTATTTTCACATTCAAGCCCTGCCTGTATATTCCCTCACTGAACATTCTAATCGCTGGACTTTTTCTATACACAATTGTGTATAGATTGTTTGTTATGTTGACAATATCTTGCTGATTAGCCCTAAAAAAACTGTCAGAATTGCTTAACAAGATCTGCCCCTCATAGACTTTTCTTGGATTCAGTGCAGATTTAGTTCAGATTCTCCAAATTTTAAACAGGATTCACAGAACTACCTGTAAATCAAACCTGGACAAATTCACGTATCATTACCGTTCACTTGCTGTCCCGGTGACAATAATATATCACAATTCAAATCCTATGGAGTTGATTTTCTAAAGGCAAATAGGTCAAATAGGCTTTTCACTTTGCAAGAGAATTTTGCCTTAGCAATTATGAAAAATTAACTTTGCAAAGAATGCCCAATCATGTGCAAATAATAAAAAAAAGAGAAAAAAGCAACAAAAAAAAAAAAAACAGTATTTTTGCTTGTGATTGGATGGAGGGTGTCAAAAGAGCTTAATCTGCCAAGCTAAGGGAAATTCTCTTATAAAGTTAAAATTCCCCTGAAGATTGAAAAGTTTTTTGGATATGCCCATCGCGCTTGGTGACAGTTTTCACCCATGCAAAAAGAGGGGTGAATTTCTGCAACATGACAGGGGTGCCAAGCAGGGGAGGACTGACAACACATGTGGCCCCCGGGCAATAGGGGATCATGGGGCCCCTGTGTCCTCACCCATACCCAAAAAAGCATATGAAAGGTACTGGGGATGTCTCATGGGGCCCCCTACTTACCCTGGTCCCTCGGGCAGTGCCCGAGTGCTCGAATGGTCAGTCCGCCCCTGGTGCCAAGCCTTCTCCACAGTAACCCAAAATGAAAATTTTTTTGTCTATATATGCACAGAGAAGAAAAAAAATATATATTTTATTCAAAATGTCATCTCTTCCTGTAAAAATAAGCTATTCTGAAAATGTGGTCTAATATAAAGCTCAGGTCCAGTTTTAGACAGAACTGGGAAGATTACTTCTGTCAATATTTTTATTGCTGTCCGAGACCCCTTTGTGGAGATAGGACAAGATGTTAGGGGGCTGGACTTTTGAGTCTAAAGGTGCTTCAAATGTACAGGAAGTTCTCTGGTAAGAATGACTATGTTCTAGCTCCTTAGAACAGAAGCTTTAGGGAAAATAAAAACAGGCCCAGAAACAGAGTATTGTGAAAGTAAAATGTGGGACTTTAACAGCTTGCCTACCGACTCACATACGAGTATAGTGGCAGAGAAGCTTTCCTGCACCAAATCACGTATCTGATACATGATATGGTTCTTCTGGGTACGGGGTGCACGTGCCCACCACCCCGACTGTGCTGTGATTTGTCACCGCACAAGCCGATCAGTGGGTCCCGGTCAGGACCTGCTGATCGACAAAGAGGAAGTCAGAACAGAGCTCTGTGATTGTAAACAATACAGAGCTCTGTCCTGTTAGTGGGGATGTGCCAGTTTTTGTTTCCCTGCAAAGCAGAAAAAACAGCACGCAGTGAATGCACCAAGCACTGTTAGGCACACAGTTAACCCTATGATTGCCCCTAGATGTTAACCCCTTTCTCAGCCAGTGTCATTAATACATTGTAAGTGTATATTATTAGCACTGATCACTGTATTAGTGTCATTGGAGATGTCAATAACAGTCAGTTCCCACAAAGTGGCAGTTAGTGTCAGATTGCTGGCCGCACTATCCTTCTATAAGTCGCTGAACGCCGTCATTTCTAGTGTTTAAAAAAAATAATAAATACAAATTCCAGTATCTATTCCATAGTTTGAAGATGCTAGAGCTTTCAATATACACTTATTTGGATTTTTTACCAAAAATTTGTAGCAGAATAAATATAAATATATGAAGAAATATATGAAGAAATTAGATTTTTTAAATTATTTTAATGGTTATGTTTTTATAGCAGAAAATAAAAAAATATAGTTTTTTTTTTCAAAATGATTGGTCTTTTTTGTGTTTATATTGCAAAAATTAGCCACTCCCCCCCCCCCCCCCCCATCCTATAGTAGAAGTACTGCTACAGGGTGGCAGGGATGTGAAAAATCACGTATATATACGTGATTTGCATTTCCAGGTAGTGGGAGCGTGCACGCAGCGTCACCCAGTGTCAGAATGTCAGCCACAGTCCCACTATAAGTCGCTGATCGCCATCGTTACTAGTATAAAATAAAAATACAAATTCCAGTATATAGATCGCCATTTGTAGACGCTATAACTTTCACGTAAACCAATTAATATACACTTATTGTGATTTTTTTGTAGCAAAGACATGTAGCAGAATACATTTTGGTCTAAAATTATGAAGAAATTTTATTTTTTTACTGGATATGTTTTATAGCAAAAAGTAAAAAAAATTGTTTTTTTTTTTCCAAATTGTCATTTTTTTTTGTTTATAGTGCAAAAAATAAATAACACAGAGGTGATCAAATACCACAAAAAGAAAGCTCTATTTGTGGGGAAAACAAATTATATAAATGTAATTTACATACAGCATTGCATGACTGCACAATTGTCAGTTAAATTAATGCAGAGCTGTATCGCAAAAAAAATGCCCGGTCATTGAAAAGGGGTAAATCCTCTGGAGGGCAAGTGGTTAAAAAAACCCAGTGATGATCAAATACCACCGTGTCTGAAAATGACATATATTTCATTTGGGTACAGTGTTGCATGACCATGCAATTGTCAGTTAAAGTATCGCAGTGTCAAATAGCCTGGTGATGAAGGTGGTTAATGGAGCCAAAATCTCAGGAGTAAATAGAAATAAATTGCAATTAAAAGAATTTACCTTTTATTAGACAAATATCATTAAGGCCTTATGCACATAGGACGTTAAAAAAAACTCTCCTAGAAGCTATCCTCCTGGCAGCAGCATTTTTTTCAGAAAAAACGCCTGACGCTTGTAAAAGTATCTAACTCTTTTTACAAATCTTTAGGCGCATTTACAAACGTCCAGCGCTTGCCCGTTATTCATTTAATTGGCCAAAATGATAATTTATTCTGACCATTGAAACGAATCAAGCGCTAAACACGCCTAGCATTTAGCTGCGTCAAGCGTGGGAAGTAGTAGAAAAAAATGCCTGATACCTCTAAGTCCTCATGCACACTGGACATTTTGATAATGCTGGTAACGTTAGCTATGTAAAGTCACGTTAAAAAACATGAGTTTTTCAGCTTTTTTAGTGTTTTTGTATTAGCATGTAGCAGCGTTTTGTGTGTTTAGCAGCGTTTTGCCACGTTTTTCCACATTTGTGGTTTTTAGCATTTTTTATTACCCCCCCAATAAAAAAAACTCCTCTAGAAACCCACGAGTCCTGAGTTTTTTTTTCCAGCCAAAAAGTGTCCTAGTCAAAAAACGCTGATTACAGTCTATGTGTGCATGGACACATAGGATAACATGCTGGGGGGTATACTGGCTGTAGAAAAAAAAAAGCCAAAAAACAGCAGCTGTAAAAACGTCCAGTGTGCATGAGGAGTAAAAGTGGCTGCAAAAATGCCCTGTGTGCATGAGGCCTAAAAACCATTCCTAACAAAAGATATACATAAAAAAGGGGAAAGAGGAATTATACCAGACATTAACAGCTGTTAGTCTGTTACAGCCAGCCATAACAAATTGGTATGAAAGATGACAAATATAAAATATATCAACACCAATATAATAGGACTAGGACAGCAGCAGTAGAACGTCAGCAGGAGATATCATGCTGGTAATGACAAGGCTGATTATTATTGTTACAAAACTACAATACAAAAGAAAACAAACCAAAATGTATAAAAGTTAGTAACTAATATTTGGTTAATTACTCACAGCTGGTAATCTAAAACCCCAGAAATCATTAGCAGTGAACCAAGGAGGAGCCCAGAAAGAGAATATCCCAGGGATGAAAGAACCTCTTGCCCAGGGGTGGGACTGACAACTCATGGGGCCCCCGGGCAATAGCAGATCATAGGGGCCCCTGTGTCCTTGCCCAAACTCAAAAAAGCCTATGGAAAAGGTACCAGGGCATCTCATGGGGCCCCCTACTGACCCCGGGCCCTCAGGCAGTGCCCGAGATATTAAAAAAATGGTCAGTCTGTCCTGCTCTTGCCAATGGATATGTGCAGCCCAAAAGGAGCTGAGGCACAAAAACTGGAGGGGAACTTACCAACCAGGACCAGGGTCTAAAAAGGGTTACAAAACAGGCTGATAAACTTCATAGATGACCAAGGAACAATATGTATGCCTTTAAAGGAAACAATAAAAAATAATAAAAAAGAGGTGGGTAAATTACCCACAGAATGCAGCAAGTGGTGGAAAAATACATAAGACACAATGAACAAAGCAAAAACATACACACAAAACAGCTACATTGAGGTGGACAGTGCACCTTGAAAAGGGGGACTGCCATACAGTGGGAAAGATCCAGTAACAAAAAAACATACCCGATAAGAGACAGCAGAGTCAGACACTTGCGGCACCAATCTACAATAAGAAATAGCTCTGTTAGCTAGACAGAAAGTGGTGGTGGTCATGCCTTGACCTGGGACCTCTATATATACTGCAGGCACCTTTCAGATGCAGCAACACGTGGCATTATTTTCATGTTGGAAGAGAAAGTACTGCATGTGCTGTGAATTGCAGGCATGTGAGGCTTTCTAGGCTCTATGAGATTACGTTTTGGGCTTTTAATGTCTGGGCAATTGGTATGGTTTACAGCTGGACGTCATACCCTCTATTGAGGGTACATTCTTAATATTTCTTAATATTTCCTCCCAAGAGGTTGCAGGCAGGGAGTGGGGGTACCCAAATTCTGCTCAGATCACCTAGGAAATGAGAGTGGGTACCTGCCAATAATAGCGGAAAGCAGTGCAATCCCCCATTTCAGGTGAAATTCTGCTTAAATTAAGTCATTTAAAAACTAAAAAAGTTCATCGACATTGTATCCTCTCAGTGCATGCCAGCGTCTGTGTGTTCAACGCAGCTGCTGGTGTCAAATAACCCTAAATCCCCCCCCCCAAAAAATGTCAGTGAATGGCAAGGAGTCTACACAGAATACTAAATAAGAGAGGAGTATACAGTATAAAGTGAAATTTTACCATGATCTTTAGCAAACAGTGATTATCAAAAGACACAGGGTTACCAGATAGCTATTTTATTAAGACACCCACTGTATCAAAATCCAGCACTAGCCACTATAAAGGCATAAAGATAATTGACAGCTCTCAGTTATAATCACCTGTAGGCAAGTGAAGACTGTTTTCTCCACTACAGGTGGTGCTGGACCACAGCGGCAATGCTGAGGGAAGAGGAAATGGAGAGAAACAGGGTTCCTCTATGGCTTCCTTGGTCACACAGGACCTTGTCCCTTGGACCTGGGTGGCCATCTTGGCAGAGTCTATTTAAAACTCTTCCCTCAGTTTTGGCGCACTTTATTCAAGTTGCTAGAGTAGGGACAGGTTCCCTGTCTCGGAGGCACAGTGCTAATGAGAGGTTCCAGAGGAGTAGGGAAAAAGCAGGGACTACGCCTACCTTCTCAGGAAGCTTCCCCTTTTGGGTTGGACTGGCCCGGCCACACTTCACTCCTTGTGGCAGATGCTGTCGGCATCACTGAGTCTTCTTATCGCTGTTGTTACACTGCAGACCTGTAAGTATTCCTGGTCTGGTGAGCCTCCCCGCAGGAGCGGACTGACCATTTGGAAACTTGGGCACTGCCCGAGGGCCTGGGGTCAGTAGGGGGCCCCATGAGATGCCCCTGGTACCTTTTTCATAGGCTTTTTTGAGTTTGGGCAAGGACACAGGGGCCCCATGATCCCCTATTGCCCGGGGGCCCCATGAGTTGTCAGTCCGCCCCTGCCTCCCCGTCGAGTCTGGTTGTTCTGTTAAATGACTTTTACAATACATTGCCTTTTGAAAATCGGGACTCTTTGCTTACTGCTCGCCACACCATGCTGCACCTACCCAGCATGCTCATTAAAGCCTAACCAAATGTTGAGTTTAAATCAGCTAAGTACATGACAGGTACATCAAAACAAACGCTTTTCCAGCTCAGTTTACAGTTTATTTTCTTTAGCAGCAGCTACAGCCTGAGTAGAAAACCCTATGTCCTGCCTACATGTTATAAAGAACAACCCTCTCTGTGTGATCTCACTATAAAAGGCTAACATTTTCCGTCTAAGACAGGCTTATAGATCTGCAATCAGCAAAGCTCACGCTCATTGCTGATTGAAGAGCTGTAGCTTTAAATCAGCGGAAGACATATTGGACCTTTGCAGAGATACCACTGCTTCCACACAGGGAGCAAGGGCCCTTGCCTGTTGCATGGTGGCAGGACACAGGCTTTTCTACTCAAGCTGTGGCTACTTTTTGAGCTGTAACTCTTTACACAGCTGATATTTTGATGCATCTGGAATGTATTTAGGCTAATTTAAAAGATAAATTCACCTTTGGGAACATGTTAAATGTTCCACCCGTATTTAGGGTGGAACATGTAACATGTTCCCATAGCTGCAGCCGCATCCACATCCACACCCCCCCTCTCCCTCTGACAGATAGTACGGGAAGAAGTTTCCCCTTTGACAGATCCACTGCCCCTCCCTCTGACAGATAGTATGGGGAGAAGTTTCCCCTCTGACAGATCCACTGCCCCTCCCTCTGACAGATAGTACGGGGAGAAGTTTCCCCTCTGACAGATCCACTGCCCCCCCCCGACAGATAGTGCAGGAAGAAGTTTCCCCTCTGACAGATCCACTGCCCCCCTCCCCCTCCCTCTGACAGATAGTACAGAGAGAAGTTTCCCCTCTGACAGATCCACCGCCCCCCCCCCTCCCTCTGACAGATAGTACGGGGAGAAGTTTCCCCTCTGACAGATCCACTGCCCCCCCCCCCCTCCCTCTGACAGATAGTACGGAGAGAAGTTTCCCCTCTGACAGATCCACCGCCCCCCCCCCCCATCCCTCTGACAGATAGTATGGGGAGAAGTTTCCCCCATACTGTCAGATTTGAAAACAGCGTTCCCGTGTGGGGCTCGGACTTCTGTGAATAAATGAACCTTAGTGGCTCTGGGCTTGGAGCACCATTGTATTTCATTGAAGCTTCCTATCAGAATATCTGCTTGGCTATACATCCCGTACTGCCAAGCAGATATTCTGACAGGTCTGCAGGAGACCTGCATGGCATCAGCGATTTACTGATTGTTAGTGCAATGCTTTCCAGGCTTCTTTGAACAAAAATAATAAATGCACATTTTTTTACCTGCAAAAAAAATGTGCATTTATTACTTTTTTCCAAAGGGTGAACTTATCCTTTAAACTGTAAGTTCATTTGGGCTTTAAAGATTACTGATTTATGTATGTAAGGCTTCTACAAAATAATACCTTTCTGCAGATTGTTTATAAAAATGATTGATTATTGCAGAAATTGCTGTAGCATTACAGATCATATATTATAGGTGATACACATACTTTATGTAGGCTTTTTATTTCATGGCTGTTGTGTTGCATATATTACTATTATTACACAGAATTTGGTTGATAGGAAACATATGGGATTTGGTCAGCAATAATACACTTTCTGCTTTGTTGCTAGGAACATTCGTTTCCTAAAAAGAAAAATCAATTTATTATAGTTTTGAGCAGCTTGACAGCTGTGCAATTGTATACATTCACATTGAATAAACCTATGAAAGAAGACATATGGGCCTTTCAGAAAAATGCCTAAGTTGGATAATAACACTCATAAATACAACAATAAATGTCTCTCATTTCTAAAACACATTCACGTTATATAAATATAAGGGTTCTAAAACTTGTGGGAAAGGGAAGCATCCAATTCATTATCTTACACATTCATTGTTTCTATCCTTATGAAGACTCCAACATCCATCACTGCATGGGGAAGTCTTCATTTGTCTGTGTAAAGACCTTTCTATATAGATAAGTAATCTTTAATCTTCTCAGTGGCCAGGGTCTCTGCTATTTAATCTACATAAGGTATCTATCATTTCTGAGAAATCTGCTTACCCAAACAGTATACAATTAGGATAAGCCCAAAGTGAAGGCTTTGCCAGGTGATGGGTATTGCATATGTTATTCTTTCAATCATATCCATGTTAGGAATTTTACTGAAAGGATTGCAAATTAATAATTGTTTGCAAGGAAACCTTTTATGTTTCAATATTTTTATAACATTTTTCAGAGATAAACAGGAAAAAACAGGGAAATGAGATACGGTTCATTCATACAATATTGCAATAGACGATATATAGTTGAGCATTTTTTGTTGTGGTTCCACCCATTGGACGGTGGAGGCGTTGATCTTGTTTAGCAATATCATCAGAGGTATTCGTGTGCGTACGATGAACCTTGGTGAGGCGTTTGGGGTGTTAGGGGGGGTTTTGGTGGAGGGGTGGGGGGGAGGATAGGATTGGGGGAGGAGGGATATAACTGGGTAATTGAGGAGATACCAGTCTTGGTGTGCGAGGTAACTTTAGCTCATAATGGGTGATTTTGGGTGATTTAGCCATCGGGTCCATTGGTTATTGAGTTTGTGATTGGAAGGAGTGGTAATTGCGGATAATTTTTCCATTTGACATTGAGTGTTAAGGTCTGTAATTAATGAAGTGATTGAGGGGATATTATTTGTGTTCCATAATCTGGTAATATTAATTTTGGCGGCAAAGAGTATGTGGGTAATAATTGTTCGGGAATGAGGAGGGAATGTCTCGATTCCGATGTGTAGGAGTGCTAATGAGGGGTTCGGGGACTATTAAAATTTTGTTTATTTCGGAGATTTATTGAAAAGTAGTGTTCCAGAAGGATTGAAGTGACTTGCATGACCAAAGAATAATGTAATGTTGTGCCTGGCTCACCACATTGTCTCCAGCATGTAGGAGATTGTTTTGGGTAGTAGATGGAGAGTTTGACCGGGGTCAGGTACCATTGGTGAAGTATTTCTAGATATGACTCCCCAGTGGGAGCTGCATCAGGTAGCTTTATAGGTGATGTTGAAGGTATTTTCCCAGCATTTTAAAGTTATTTTAAAGTTTTTTCCCAATTGGTTAGGGAGGTTGTTTGTAGAGTAAATTGTAAGTTTATGAGATATGTATAAAAAGATGGATATACCTTTACCTGGGTATTGAGGTTTGGTGAAGAAGGTATAGGCTGGCTGTAATTGGTATCATAGTGGTGTGGAGTAAACTAGCTGTTTGTAGACAATGAGCAATTCTTGGGTATGTAAAGTTTTCAGTAGTAGGGAGATTATTCTTGGTTTAAAGAATTTGGAAGGGGCATATAGATTGATTGATATAGAGGTCTATTATGTTGGTAATCCCTTGTTTTGTCCATTGAGATAAGTCTAATGAGGAATAAGAAGGTGTAGTATATTGGTTGGAGTAGGTATATGTTTGGCCTCTTTAAATTTAGTGGATAGGAGCTCCTGCCAAGCTTGTAAGGAGGCTTGAATGCAGGGATGTTTTAGTTAGGGTTCCATTCAGTTGGTCGGTGGGTCAAGAGTATATTTTGGGGCTTAAGTGGTTGAAACATGGAAACCTTTTAAGTGGTTGTAAAACATGAAATATCTCTCTATAGTGTGCACCAAGTGTCATTTCTGTATGCTGCAGACTGCTAGTTCCTCTGCTATCAACATGAATCACTTCTGACAAGTTTTCCTGACACCAAGAGAAAAAAGGTGACAGCCTCAGCTCTGTTTCTGTGAGCTGTGTGGAGGGGGTGTGTGTATCTTCCATCTATTCAGCTCTCAGAGCTCTCCTCACTGAGCTCCGCAGTATGTAATTTCAGCTCTCCACTTTCCTGAACTCTCAGACAAGCTTTAAAAATTCAGCACTTTGAATGGTATGTAGAGAAGAGAAGACTGCAGATAGACAGGTACAACTTATGTAGGACGATTTGTTTCATCTCTGATTTTAATATGAGACCAGCCACTTCACTCGTATAATAAGTGACTGTGAGGGTTTACAACCACTTTAATATGAGACCAGCCACTTCGCTCAGTAAATGTGAGGGTTTACAACCAACTTTAATATGAGACCAGCCACTTCGCTCAGTATATATGAGGGTTTACAACCACTTTAATATGAGACCAGCCACTTCACTCGGTATATGTGAGGGTTTACAACCACTTTAATATGAGACCAGCCACTTCACTCGGTATATGTGAGGGTTTACAACCACTTTAATATGAGACCAGCCACTTCACTCAGTAAATATGAGGGTTTACAACCACTTTAATATGAGACCAGCCACTTCGACTCAGTAAATATGAGGGTTTACAACCACTTTAATATGAGACCAGCCACTTCACTCAGTATATGTGAGGGTTTACAACCACTTTAATTTGAACGTTGTCTTTTTTTTTAATAAATTTATTTAAATGATGTAGGTTTTTAAGCTTTGAATTGCCACAACTTGGGATGCACTGATACTGCTACGGGTTTCGGTTTCGGTGCCTATACCAAATATTTTCACGAGCACTTTTACTCGTGAAAATGCTGCCGATACCTGAAACCGATACATATATTTTGTATTGATGCAAATTGCACCTCAAATAATAGCATGCGATTTGAACAGGAATGCAATGCAATTCCTGAACAAGTCACATGCGGTTTCCCCACTGCTCCTCTGTGAACAACAGGCCTGTCATAGTCTGAGTTCACACAGGAGCAGTGCGGGAAACGTCCCTTCACCAATCCCATGTTGTCACAAAAGGAAAAGTTGCTTCACAGGTCTGGGGATTTGAAATCCCTGCTGCTTTCTCTCCTCTCCATGCAGGAATGACAGTATTGGCTAGACCAATCAGAAGCCTTCTAGCCCGTACTC